TAGATAGATAGATAGATAGATAGATAGATAGATAGATAGATAGATAGTAGTACTAAGCAATAGCAAGTAGTAGTAAGATGTAGTAAGTAAGTAGTAAGTAAGTAGTAAGCAGTAAGCAGTAAGTAGTAATGAGTAAGGACTAAGGAGTAAGGAGTAAGTAGTAGTAGTAGTAGTTGTTGTTGTTGTAGCTGTAGTAGTAGTAGTAGTAGTAGTAGTCGTAGTAGTAGTAGTAAGTCGTAGTAAATAGTAACATGTAGTCGTAAGCAGTAGTAAGTAAGTAAGTAAGTAAGTAATTGAGTGAGTGAGTTAGTGAGTGAGTGAGTGAATGAGTGAGTGAGTAAGTAAGTAGTAGGAAGTAGGAAGTAGCAAGTAGCAAGTTGTAATTAGGAAGTCGTCGTCGTCGTCGTCGCCGTGGTGGTGGTGGTGGTGGTAGTAGTAGTAGTAGGAGTAGTAGTAGTAGGATGTTGTAGTAGCAGCAGCAGGATTTGTAGCAGCAGCAGCAGCAGTAGTAGCAGCAACAGCAGAAAGAACATCTTTAGCCATATCTTTTGCCAAACAAACATACTTTCGCCAACTCGAGAAAAACTTTCGCCAGATGAAATTTTGACATGTTCCAGGGTCATCGTCATCAACAATCCCTATTAGGACCTTTAGATCGACAACCATATATATGACTCTCTCTCTCTCTGTCATTAAGAATCCACGGATCAAATTTGGCAGATTCAAGGCTTCTCAATCAAAGCCGGAACGAGAGCCGCCAATGGCTCCGACGCCAATGGACACCCAAAGGGCCGTCAGAAAGAAATCGATTTGCAAATGATCCGGGGGTTCCTCAAAAACTGAGACTGCCACGTTCGCCGATGGCCTCTGATTTCGCTGGCGTCAGAGAGGCCACCCACGGAGAAGCGGTAGAACTTGCGCTCCTTGGGGGTGTGTCCGGCTGTGTGTGTCAGGTAATGGCCTCCAACCTACTTGCGATGGCCTCCACCCTAGTAGCTTCTTGCAATTTATACTAGTTTCAAGTTCTTTCAGTTCAATTAGACGCAATGGGCCGTCTCTTTGTCACTCTTCGTCTCGCTCTGTGCTTGGGGGCCGGCGAGAGCTCGCGCGATACTTTTGCTGATGGAAGTCTTTCCAACCTCAGCCCAAGAACTGGGCTAATACAGCTTTTAGGACAAAAGCATGCAAAAGCAGGATCCAAAGGTATCCAACACGTTGGCCTTCTATGGCCTCCTCACGTGTCGCAAGACCTATATATAGAATTTGTTTTGCAATCCATAAGAAGCTGGGGGCTGTGCACCTGGAGGGCCGACGAGGCACATGATCTTCCCTTGTGTTGACTCCTGCATGGACAAACAGCCTCAATGAGTGCAAGAAACGAGTCCTGTTGGAGAAACGAGTCGGTTCTTCTGCCTCGTGTTTCTCTCCTTTGACATGCCTCTGGACCGACCGTGGAAGAAGGAGAGACACGTTCGGCAGTTCGGGATGGATGCATAAAAAAGCACGCTTTCAATTCTCGTCCTGCAGAAAGTTCACCGCGATGTGCTCCAAGATTCGTTCCTTTACATCTTCCAAGCCATAGTGATCCTCGTTGAGGATCTTCTCTGCCTTGCCAATGTCCCTGTTCTCCTGCATCTCCCGAACGCTTTCGGCTACCAGCCCAGATCTCCCAAGCGAGCCTGAGTGGTTTGACCCCATGGAAGGCATGTCAGCCACTCCTGGCAGGTCAGACCCAAGTGGGCTAAGATGTGCAAAGGTTCCGGTGGATTGTTCAGCCTGTGCCTTTAAAAGCAAAAGCCACAGCAACAAAAGGCATCAGTGTCACTGAAAGCCACTTGCAGCTGAGACACCAAGTAAGACCGACATACATTGAACTCTGAGGACGATGGCTCTAGCCTCTGTCACGGCTTGGTGCCACAAGTTTGTCAGGCTCACAAATTTAGTCTCTGAGCTGTTGTAAGCTTTCTGGCTGGCTCAGCTTCGCAATCTCCTCATCAATGACCTGCCAAGCATCATCAAGGTGTGCAGCCCGCAGGATATAATGCATCCTTTCAATGCAGGTTCTGAACCTTCTTGACCTCCTCTGGAACGGTCTTATCTTTGATCGCGTCTGTGAACCTCAGTCGCACAATCAGAACTTTGCATTATCGAGCACTATCACGCATTTTCGGCATTTGCTCACCGTCATGGGTTGTTCGCTCGTCCATCACAAACCCAACCAACTCGTCAGCCCAGGTCTCAAGCTGCAAGACCAAAGCTTCTTTCTCATCCCGCCTTGGCACATGTTGCATCCCGCAGGGTGGGCCCAATTCGCCCTGTTCGTCGACACGCGATTGTCACAGCCCTAAGGCTCTAGCTCAATACCTAGCTCCTGCGACAGTCGCAAATGGCATCAAGGTGGCTTCAAACCGTGCAAATCTCGGGTTCGTGCCCATAAACTAGGTATGACAGCCTGTGGCAAGCTTTGCGCTGCACGCTCTGTTTCTGGTCTGCCCTCTACAAATGGTCCAGAGCTTCCAAAATGCGGTCTACCTGGCAGAAGAACGGTCAATTTTTGGGGCAAGAAATCTACATGTATCGCTGAACCGCAACCGCAATTCAATCCCAGTCCACCTCCTCTAAGGTGTTGTAATGAAGCAACCCTAAGCCTCATTTGCAATCTGAAGCGTCATGCACGAGTCCAGTTGCCATGGGGGAATGGATTTCAGCAAATGGTTTGGCGTGCTGGTATTATTATAAAATAAATGCAATAAATAATATGATGGTGTATGATAGGGAAAAATCAAATGTTTCAATGATCTGATTTGAACATCGGTGGTGCAGGCTTTCTGCTTTTACTGTACCATTACCATCGCGAGCAAGACCCATATGATATGACCACCCTCTGGCACAAAGGAAGGTGTGGAATGGCTTGCTGCGGCCTAGAGACGCGTCATGCCCTCGGCTGTGGCACCATGTTTCTCCCAGAAAGAAGCGTAGTGGTTGCCAGCAGTGCACCAAATGCCCCTAGTCCGCAGTCACCAGAATAAACAAAGCTGGCGTGTTCCAAGTTCCAAGTGACCAGAAAAAGTCGCACTGTCGGGGAAAACATGGGAACACTGCTTGATTGAACTATTCCAACTACGATTGGGTATGGCATGGAAAAGTTGGAAAATGCGGAGAGCGACCACCAGAAGTAGAACTCGCCTCTCGCACAGCTTGTCTGCAAGTTCCTGATGCCCACAACCAACCAGTTCTAAGCCGTCTCTTGACTTGATGGGCCACAAGCAGAGTACCTCTTTTGAACCACCAGCAGTACATCTTCCATCTTATCTTTTCTGCCGCAAAGACACTCAAACACAAACACACTCACACGCACTAGCCGCTGTCCTGTGCAGCAAGCCCCCTCTTGGCCACAGCAAAAGTTGACGTGCGATGTTGCACCTTGCTACTCAGCTGAACAGCCAAAGTGCTTCCTATGCAAAGATCCACTAGAACTGATCAAAGGCAAGCGTTACAGGATAAATGACATATATATTATATATAACTGCAGGAGAATTCAATATTTCTGCAGAAACGGGTAATACAATGCGAGAAGGTATTCAGAAGGTGCTGACCTTAAGACTTTTCATGCACAAGGGTCGAAAAGGCAATCAATAAAGACATTGAATGGTTCTGGTTCGTAATCTGGAACTCTGTGGATTGCTAGTGCCAAGCAAAGCCGTGTGACATCTTCAGGATCTGCAACACCCAGCCTCAGAAATACAAGAGACCAGCTATCATGTCTTATTAAATTTCAGTTTCTGCATTCCCGTTCCGATTCGCAAGTCATTGGGACCTGTGGGCTTACATAGCAGGTGTGCAAGTACAAGATTCAATTCCTGTTGCCAATGAACTTGCCCAAGGTGGTTCCTTTCTTCCGGCAACAAACAACTTGTTGCCTGAAGAAAGGCCCTAAGCAAACCAGCATCGGCGACTTCACCCAAGAGAAACCATCATGATTCAAGAGTGAGCGATTCGGTGCGATACGGCCGCGACACGTTGTGGCAATCAACGGCAGTTTCCATTTTCATGTTAACGTCCCTAAGGGGGCATTGTGTTCGCTTGCAAGAACTAAGCTGGGGCCACTGACACTTGCATGTTTGGCATGCTTCGTAGGCCTTCCTCGGCTGCTTTGGCCGACGAAAAGCCGTCACATACTCTTCATCAGCTTGTTGACATTACTGGCAGAGGAAGGTACAACATCCTGGTGTATGGAGATGTATAATATAAAAGAACCAAATTCTGAAACTGTATGCCAAAGATGCGAGCATTCGACGTTTCAACTCGTTTTCGTGCGCGCAAATAGCATGAAAACCTGTCACCGCGAATTGGTCGCACAAGCAGCAACAATAGTCATTGTCAAGCCGGTGATGCAACATTTAGCATGCTTGACAATCAATCTATCCTTCTATAGATTCTCTCAGGCACTCTTTCTCCCTGCTGACTTCACAAGCCTTTGGCCTCTTATGTTCAAAGTGCCTTATCTTACAGGATCTCTGGGGCCTGGGGTATGGGCACGTCAATGTATACATGTCCATTGGTCATTGGGGCATATCATGCATTAAATTGATATATCAAATGGTCCTATCTATTCAAGCGCACCCAGACTTCTCCAAATGTGACATGGATTGACATGGCCTGTCTCGATGCGTTCGGTCATGGTGGCACCCCTCGCTCCCCCAAAGCGATCGCCCAGCTCTGCGAAATACTTCACAGCCTCGGCTAAAAAAATCCGGCTGTGTGCCTGTGTGCGGGGGAGTGCGTAGAACAGCACAAATGCACGCTGCAGTGTTGGTAAAACAGTCTGATGAGATGTGATGAGGGCATTTCTGAGCGTCCTGCTGCCGTGATACCGGCAAGGGCCTGGTGGTGCATGGATTGGAAACGCACAAACATGTCTATAGTGTGTGCCGTTGATATTGGGAAACAACTGCCATCCACAGTATATACGTTGACTGGGATGCATGGTCGGACCACATGGTCGGAATCCCATCACAACTGCAACAACCTCGAGCCTCATAGTTCTGCGTGCCCAACTCCCAGCGGGACATGTTGCCGTTCTCAATGCTTGGCAAGGAGTTGTCTGAACAGTCCTCAGCTCTAAAACATCTCTGTGAGCAAATCCGACGCAGGTCTGGCAATTGAGGACATCCGTTTGGAATAGTATTTTAGGCTAGTCAGAATCACAATGCAGTCTAGATTGTAAAAAAGCCAGGATGCAGGACATCTCCCACGGCATCCAAGGCCCGAGATGGCCCAACATGCCCAACTCCCTATTTCTGATTACGCCTGGCTAGACTCAAGTCATTGAGACCGATCCCGTTTCAGAAGAAGAGTGCGCCGTCAGTGCAGCTGCGGTAGTGGTTTCAGAGTAGATCCCCAAAGGTGGTGTATATTATGGACCTCCATTGCAAAGACATCTTGGGGTGCCAGCGCCATCTATTCCGAAATCACTGTGCATGTCCGTCTTTCTGTAGTCGGATCAGGGAGAGTTCCTCGCCGAGTGGGGAAGCTGAGCTGAGTGCACCCGCCGAGACTCCAAGCGATCAGCTGGAAGGGATTCCAAGGTAGCTCGTCTCCCGTAGAGGACACCTCATGTGGCTCAATCCCTGAACTTTTGAACCATGGCCAAACAGATCCAACCTTTCTGGCACTCAAACCTTGGTCAAGTCTATCCGGCATCGAAATATCATAACATATCCGCCCATCCGTTGCTGCTGTCTCTCATGATGACAAAACAATCCACAAGACTCACCCGGCCAAGACGGGGAGTGCCTGCATGGGGACCAAAGAACTTGTAGGGAGAGCATGCCAGAAAGTCGCAGCCGATGCTTTGCACGTCTAAATGACCATGAGGAGCATAGTGAACAGCCTCGGAGTCGAGTGGAGCCGTCGAGCTGGCTGGGGTCATTACAGCCGCAGTCTTTTTTCAAACCGACCTTCCTCTCTGCAATCAGCCCGTCTCTCTCAACTCTCCTCCACATTTTCCGATCAAATCTCTCTCTCTGTCTCTCCCTATCCGTGACAAGGTGACAAGCTTAGTCAAGTGATGTCGAGAGACATCGACAAAAGTCCAGGCATTTCCATTGGAAAGGTCACGAGCTCTCTGACACAGGCTGGTGATGTCATGCGCAGTTCCCACGCCGTTGGAGGCAGCACCCATGGCCACCAAACGTGTTCGATGGTCTACCACGGCTCCGACAGCGTCCGGGCTTCCGTCCAAGGCACAGCGAGAAAGGTCCTGGATACATCTGACATCACCCTCAAAGCTCCCTTTCGATCCGTGCAGTCATGGCACCCTGCATCTATGACACTCTTAATGGGTCTAGTAACGTTGGTATTTGTAACATTGTAAGGTGCTCCTGAGTCAACAAATGAGCATATCTTTGCATGGCCGTGCAACTAACAAATCTCCTGCCTGTTCATCACATGTTCTAGGCTCTTACAGCCATTGTCCTGGTGAGTAGGTAGCCACCGAATTTCGACCCCATTGGACTTGGCCAATTGGACCCAGGGCCAAACGTTGGCACCGTGACTGATGGGATCCAGAACAATGTTGTCTCCAGCTGCAAACGCTACGCCATTCCTTGGATTCGATGTGCTACTTAGAATGGCAACCATGGGCTTTTCCTTTGCATTTTCGGTTGTGACATGTAATTAGTATACGTAGTATTAGATACTTAAAACTTAATTAGTATATCGTGTTGGTGAATCGTGTGCCTCACAACGACTTTCAGAGTAGTTTTTATTGGTCATCATTGGTCATCAATTTGTGAAGTGCCCAGCTGTGCCACAAAAGCTCTGAGAAGTCTGTCACCAAGCTGCCGGAAAGCCCGAGACAAATGGTATACCAGGGCTGTCATGCTCGGTCCAAAGGCAATCCTCAGCAGTCCAGGTTAGTAATATAAAAATCTTTCATATGGTAAGGCCAGAATCCTTGTTAAAAAGGTCGAAGAACGTCAAAAAAACAGGAAATGGAAAAGTCAAAGTCAGAAACACAATCAAATTGAAAAGTCAAAAAAAGTCGGGAAAAAACAAGTCAAAAATAGACCACTGCTCGAAAAAGTCAACAAAAAAAGGCAAACAACACACAAAAAAGGAATTGAAAAAGAATCAGTCGGAAAAAAGTCGGAACACGCCGAACAAATGTCAAAATTATAAAACAACTCGAACATGTTAAAAAAGAAAAACACATTGCAATTAACGTCAAAAAAATCTAAAACAAATCAACAATATAAAAACAAAAGTAAAAAAGAAGTCGGATCTGGGCAACTTGATTTTTTTTGACTTTCTGAAACTTTCTGATTTGATTTTTTGACTTTGACTTTTGGGACAGACTTTTTCTTAAACAAATTGAAAACAGGCTCTCTCCAATGAAAGATTTTTATAAGGTTAGTAAACCTCTCAAGGCCTGAACCTCTTCTTGGGCTGGGAATTGCAACAACTCAAGTTCAAGTTCAAGTCCCAATTTTAAATCAGATTCCCAACATTGGCATCTGGAACCCCTGTCTTTCAATTCCATGTGCCCCGTAAGTTTCCAATCACAGCTGCCCCTTCTTTATCTCAAGGTCCAAGGGTGTCCAAGGTGTCTCTTCTCAGTCTGTCCTGTCCTCTCCGGTCCCGTTCCACCGAGTATCTCTTCCTTTGCACAGTTCAGGAAATGCGCCATGGCACTGCGTGCGCTGGCCACTGCTTGTTCCGCACGGCGGCTGGAGTCATAGCTGCCGCCGATGTTCGCTGTGCCAAAACGAAGCTGCTCCATCATGGCTTCCAACACACTCCTGCGGCCACGGGCGGCCAAGCAACAGTCATGAGATTTTCATTGATGTTCACCACCCTTGCAAGCTACGCTTAAACAATCTAGCAGCAAGTAGAGCTAATTCATCCAAACTTCCTCCATCACTGGTCATAAAGTTAGAGTCACAGCCAAAGCTGAGCCAAAACCATTCAAAAACAAAAAGGATCAAAAAGGCATGCAATGGTTTCATACATGCTCAATCATGTTCACTTTAGTGCATCCTCCGAAGCGAGAGGCTTCCTGATGCAGAACTCTGAAAAAATAGGACATCTTAACTTGTCCAAGTGTCTGGTGCACTTGGGAGCCGCTGGCACCATCTGCCAACACAGGGGCATCCTTACCATGTCTCAGACCCGGGAATTCTGACCGAATGGTCGCAGCCATGGCTGTGTGGTCATAGGTCTTCAGGGTACGGACGGACTCATAATAGGTGGACGGCATGAAGTCAGCTTTAGTGTAACTGAAGAAGGTGACATCTCGGTCACGTGCAGCGCGGTTCTGCCCTCCTCTATGAAGCACCCGGTCATCAAAAATCAGTATGGAACCTGCATCCATGGTGGCCGCGATCGGTTCTTCGGATGAACCAATCATCTGTGGAGAGTTGCTTTCAGATTGGTAAAGGATCTCTGTGCCAAACTGCGCTGAATCCTTTAAATGGTTGGTCAACAAGTGCGAACCAGGCACTAGCTCAGTGGGTCCCATCTCGCTGGTGACGCTGCCCGATGGCACCAAAACATTCAACAAATGTGGACCTTGATGTTCAGGTACACTGTGCGGTGAGTCAGCGTGCCAGATTTGTGCCTCTGATTTCGGTTGAGCTCGAACCAAACCAGCGAAGGCTCTACCGGGTATACCCAGATCTTGTGCCCTGCCAGCTTCAGCTGAGGACTTCGTGTCGGCAAGAACTTTGCTTGCGATGCTCTCAATTCTTTCCAGGAGTTCTGATGGAAACTCCTTGAACTCACAAGGGATGTCATACCGGCCAGGCGATCGCAAACAAACTTCGCGGAACCCAGCACGACTGCCTATCCCCAGGGAGACGCGCTTACTCCTTAATGTGCTCATGATTTCTTCGGCCTTAGAAGTGGCGGGTGCTGTCAAAGTCTTCAACTCCTCTGCATCAAACAAATTCTTCAATATGACAAAGCCATGCTTTGAGATGCTCTCCGCAGCCAAAGCCTGATGGTTGGCTTCGCTGGCTCGTACTATCCATGGAGCTTCCTGGCTCGTACTATCGGCGAAGGGGCGCTTCTGAACAGTACAGAAGCGAAAATGCAAGCCCGGCAAGGTCCCACTCAAGCCAGAGCAAGCAGCTCGTCTAAGCCATGATGGGGCTGGCATGCTGGTCGTGGTAAGGACTGTCCTGTGGTTGTCAGGTGTCATTTGCAGGTGTAGACCAAAGCTTGGCCTACTGGGAGTTTGGAGTAATTATATAAGTTCATTGCATCCAAGCTCTGTTTTGAGCATTTGGAGATTCAATCGCAGTTCTAGTCTTTAGAGTTGGTTTAGCGTGCTTGTAGGAGAGGCCCATGCAACTGAATTTATAGGAATGAGTTCTTCAATGTTCTTCATAGTTATTCTCCTGTTCCATGAGAATGGCTTCAGATCGGGCACAAGCTTTTGCGCCCCACACAAGGCTGGCGGTACTGCACGTCTGCAACTCCCAAGCAAACAAGGCGTTTGTTTCCAAACTGTCGTCCCTGCACACGAGCCGATCGAACAAACAAGGCCTTCATGATCTGCTTCATTTGAGCCTTGACATGACACCACTGCCGCAGACCGACGAAAGTGGAAGGACGCAATGGACAGCAATGACGAGCGATGCAGTCTGCAAGCTCCCAGTGCAGCAAAGCGGCCATCAACATCTCTCGTTTTTGATCTTTGGACATTCCGCCTTCAACCTCTCCATAGTGGGGGTGCACCAACAGCGCATAAGAATAGAAATGAATAGAAATGATTAAAAACCTGTCCCCAGATTCCGAGATATCCCACAGTCCTCAGTCTTGAGCTTTGACTGCACTCGAGTGAGGTCCAAATCCTTTTGAACAAGTTCGTCGACCTGCAATGTACCAAGATTCCAGCTCTGAACGGCCTGACAACCTTGGGCATTATATAGATTATATTATATTAGATTCACAACTTTGAGCACTCGGTGAGTCTTAAACTTTAAACTCACTTGGATTCTACAACTTTGAGCATTGTAGCTCACAAATGCTCACAACCGTCGACTTTGCAGAATCCCATCGCTCAGCCGCACCAGCTTTAGGCGCTTGAGCATGTCCTGCTCACGCAGAATTGCCTCCGGACTGAGAGTTGCACGATTGCCAATGACCAAGAGATTATTTATCAACTAAACTTTGCGTTTACAACATGCGTTAATGTTGATCATTCAGGACCTTTAGCCACTGCTGAATAATAAAACTGTGCTCATCATTTGGCACACTAGGCATTTTTCCGTCATGAACCTCCAAATCGCCTGCAAATCTGCCCGAGCACCAGAAGACATTCCAGCAACCTCTGCCCAAGAAAACATGAGAAAGTATCAGAAAGTAACAAAAAGACTCCAGAAATGCATGTTCAAGCGATGCGTGGTTGCATCTCGTGCTGGGCAAGGCATGGCTGGGGCACCCGCCAAATCCGTCAATTTCAGCGGGTCGCTTCGGTCAAAGAACCTCAAGTCAAAGACTTATATATATATATATATTTGGCCGAAGGTTTATTTCGCATATTGCGCATATATATATATATATGTATGTTATATATATATAACTTACTGTTTCGCAGTGTTTGCTGGTGAACTGATGGTGACCCCCATGTCCCTCCAACTGGGATCAAAGCTTGCTCACCTGATCGTGCTGCTCCTCCAAAGGCTCCCAGATTCGATACAACCCTGATGACCGCTATTCAAAATAAACTCATTGACGATTTTGATGTCCTTGTACAGAACTGACGTTGCAAGGAGCTCGTTCAGCTTGCCATTGATGCTTCCGATAACTCCCTGCGCGCATCTTGGCAGCTTGAGCACAATGTCCGTGACATTGCTGTGAAGTGGGGTTAAGCGTGGTTGTAACATTGGCAGCTATTGGCAGAATGCTTTTCAGTGGTTTTTCCGCAAGGACGGAGGTGCCTGGACCAATTCGATCATGCAAAAGAGGTCACACACACACAAGCCCGCGCTTGAATGAAACCACATGTTTACAGAATCTCTGGTTTTCTTTTCAAAGAACAAGTCCCGATATGTCCAGAGAATGGACATTATTAAGTTAAGCAATCGATAACAATTGGAATAATCACTCCTGCCTACTTTCCCACAACTCAAGCAGCATGAGACAGTGAGAGAAGCACAAAGGAAGGATCACCACAGGCAAACGGCACTGCGCCTCCATTTCTTTCGTTCCTTCGTCGTCTTTCGGCATGCTCGGGGCCTCCAGGTACCTTATTGCTCCGTTTGTAGCGATGCCTTTTGCTCCTAGTAGCTTCTTGTTCCTAGTAGCTTCTTGTTACTACTAGTAAGGCACTTGTTACTAGAAGCGATGCACTTGTTCCTAATGGCTTCTTGTTCCTAGTAGTAAGGCCAGGAGCCCCTAGTAGCGTCCTTGCTCCTAGTAGTAAGGCCAGGAGGCCGTAGTGGCTTCTTGTTCCTAGTAGTAAGGCCAGGAGCCCCTAGTAGCGTCCTTGCTCCTAGTAGTAAGGCCAGGAGGCCGTAGTGGCTTCTTGTTACTAGTAGAAAGGCCAGGAGCCCCTAGTAGCGTCCTTGCTCCTAGTAGTAAGGCCAGGAGCCCGTAGTACGGCTTTTCGGCATCGTTCAGTATGGGAAGATTCAATCTCCTCCGCTGCTGCGGACACCAGTTTCTTCATCGGGGTCATGGCACCGCAAAACCAGAGTAGATTGTCCAAACCAATCTAAGAGCTTCTCTTACTATTCTGCATGCTATCCAAGGACTGACTATCTCAAAGCATTAGCGCTACCCAAAATCCGGAACCAGGGGCCAAATAATGCCATGAGCTTCCCCTGCGTTTGTCACCTGGGCCGCTAGGTTGTAACAAACACATCAACAAGGTTTGCACCAACTCAACAGCATCCGCTGAGTCTGCTGGCCACACCTCATCCCCAGCAGCTGAGCTCGGGTGTGCTGTGTCACATCCAAAGCTTTGTCATTTCATGCCATTTCTCAGTTTTGGAGAAGATTGAAGAGAGTTCGGGATGTGGCCACATCGACTTTTCAAGGCTTATCATCTTTCCCGCCGCCGGAGAACAGGGTCTGCGGCCGCTGCTCATGTCCCAATTCGATCGATGACATGACGCGCGATTCTGGGGCACTCAATGGCCACCACAGGCAAAGGCACCTGGCCGTCATGCCACGATGGGATCAAAAACAAAATGCATTCAAACTGGACATGTCAGGCCAAGATGTCTGGATTTGCCTTCACATTCCACATGGCCCATTGTGGTCCATCCATATTCTTCATCCAACTGTTCACATCGTTGTCCCATGACCAAGATCAACTTTTGAACAAGGAAGCGCATGAAACACGCGCGGGCTCGACGCTGGGAGCAACACCAGACCTGAAGCGTCAAAGAACCCAGCTAGCTCTTTGCTATCACATCGCCCAATCATGGCAGGTGTCATGTGCCGCATGTGGAGAGGGGACGGCGTGGCTGCTTGGGAGTGTGGGATGATGAACGATTTGGAGAAGATTCATGCAATCAAGAAACGATGACGGCCATGACGCTGGCATGAGGACAATGACGCTGCCCAGGACTGTTTTCAACTGTTGCGATGCTGAGACTTGGTCGCAAACACCGTCCGCTTCATTTGTACTCGCCGGTGTGGGATGACGGTGATGTGGCCTCCATCGATGTTTGGGTACCTCTCAACATGGAGAAGCTACCCTGCGAAGCTGCCGGGCAAAGCCAGAAAAATCCAAACCCGAAACTTACCTATATGGATCTATACGGTTTGCACATTTAGGTGCCACCCCGTGGTTAGGCCCCTCGGAGCTGTGTGGGACATCGACTCGGCTGACCGCTTCGGAGCACACGACCAAATTCACCACCTGGAGGATGGTTCCCACCTCCTCCAGCTCTGCAACACCTGAGCAACAGATCTCAGCTTCTTCCTCTTCTTCTTTTTGTACTCATTATTGCTATTCCTTTTTTTGGAGGGGGGTTAGGCCGCTACTAGAGGTAGCTAGCGGGCGCCTACTCAATTAAGTAAGTGAGGTAACTAGTAAGTACAGGACGCTCCTAGGTAGGACGGGCCGCTACTAGAGGTAGCTAGTAGTAGCTAGAGACGTAGCTAGTAGGAGCTAGGGAGTCGCTAGTAGGTACAAGAACGCTCCTACATATTATGCAGGATAGCTCAGGCTTCTTCAAGGAAGCTCCGCCCACCGCCCTAAAGATCCTAAAGGCGGCGCGGGGGGGAGCTTCCTTGAAGAAGCGCTCGCACTAATCATTCAATAAATCTATTTAAAAACCATATATAATATATATATATATATATCTGACGCCTTTGTCTTTTAGTTCTCACTTTCTTCTTTTCCACGCCAGGGACCAAACTCTCAACCATCCCAGCATCCCGCCGAAGTCTGGAACTTGACTTGGCCTCACCGTGATTCGAAGGTGGTGTCATGTGTGTCTGGGAAGGACTCATGGCCATTGCTTTGACCAGCGGCAGATTGCTCCGAATCAGCATCATCACGAACCTGTACGCAACCAGCGGGTGGTGCAAGAAGTGCACGATGAAACACCATCGCGGGTCAATGAACAAGCCTTGCTTGCGGCAACCTGAGTCTTGGTCAAGAAGCCACCCAAGTACTGGCCTTGCTGGTTCCTCAATGACAGCATTCAGTACATCATCCGAGTACCCGAGTAAACCTTGCTGTGCCTGTCTGATTTGGAGTGACACCTTCCAAAAACGTTTGAGCACTTGTCCAACTCAGGGACACCATCTCAAGAGTTTGGAGCTCTGTTGAAGTGTGATTCAATTCTTTCCGTTGCTTCTTGTCCATATGGACGGGACCACTCGACTCAACACCGCAAAGCAGCGAAGCACAGCTTGCCAAGCACCCAGCTTTCGCAGCGAAACCAAGAAATCCAGGACAGCGGTATCTCCAACCTCTCTCAAGAGGGGTAGGCGATCCCCATTTGATAGAGGACATGTCTTACGGGCACCCAAAACTCCCCATGGTCTGATGGACAATCAGACTTAATTAGCTCATGTCCAGTGACCAATTGGCGCAACAGCATGCAGTGAACCAAGTACCGGCCATGACATGTGAACTGCATGCTGAACCACTGCCTGAATCACCTGATAGAACCCGGGAAAAGCAGGCTTGCGGAACAAAGGCAGGACAAACCTCAGGGCGTACACTTTCAAGGTCTGAGGGTGGCAACACCAAATGCCAAGCAAGAATGTGCTTCAAGCAGCGGAGAACACATGCATGGGGGTGGCATCAAGAATAAGAGCAGGGCAATGCTGGGTTTCCTGGCTTGCGATGGAGAAACAAGATGACACAAAAAGAGCAAACGGTTAGCACACCCCTTATAAACTTCAATGATTTCCACTTTAGTCAGAGTGGGATTCAGTTCAGTCCCCCAAACATCCCGCCTTCACTTGCCCCTTCGCTTTTGCTCCGCGATGAGGAAGATCCTGGACCATTTCAGCTTCATCATCTCAGCTACAGCTACGTGACCTGAGCCGTCCTGACTCGCCAAAGGCACCCGGTGAAGCCGTCGTGGCCTGGGTCGGCCGATGTCCGGCGAGCGCTTCGACTCATCTGCACCATCATGATCAGGAATCCGTTTGAACCTAGCAGTCTCAACTCCTTCGAACGGCAAAAGGCTCTATATATGTTGCTAACATGCATCGCAAGATGTGGCAAGCCTGTTCTGTGTCCTTTGCATCCACTGGTCGGTCACCTGCTGGCTCGACAAGCAAAACATAAGCTGGTGGCTAGTGGAAGGAATCTCTTCAGTAACGAGGGATTCGTGCCTGTTCGCGAGAATCTCGCGTAGCGTGTGAGGATCAGCGGGTTGACCCTGTGAACAAGGGAAGTGAAGTTGGAGTCTCCCTAGCTGGATGACATTGGATGACATGGGAAGACAGTCTGCCAGTTGATCTGCAACACATTTTTTGTTTTAAAGCCCGGGGCGGGGGGGGTAGGCTGTAGAGGGAGGTAGTACTGTAACCTGTGGCTAGGTAGCTAGTAGAAGCTAGGTAGCTACTAGCTACTAGTAAGCTACTGCCTAGGATGCAGGATAGCTCACGCTTGCACTATTCATTTGGTTCCTAGATTCTTAAGGAAACTTAAGTTTTCGTGGGTCTCACCGAAGTGACGGTTGAGTACCACTCTTGCAGAACACCCTCCTTACACGACTTCACCGCAGACACAAATGCCAATCGGCTTGTTCCGTGTTCCGTCCTTCTGGCCGGGCGACTGGACCTGATGTGACAACACTCGCCGTATCTGATCCCCATCACAGTCTCATCTGGGGATGCAACAGGCGAGCGACAACGTACATGGCGACGAGCTATGCAGCCGAAGGCCGCAGGTCTCATTCTGCAGGGTCTAGGTAGTTCTTGACCAATTGACTGAGTCAGCTGGAATGGATTTATTGTGTTACTTCACGAAGCACAGCCCTGAAAGCTTTTTGTATCTGCTTGTGAATGTCGCATACTAATGTATCTGAGTGTCTGCACTTGCCTTTTGCAATGCTGTCAGTGATGTTTGTTTTCGAAGCGGTCATGCTCTAGTTCTGGCAGGTGTTTCCTGCTGTCCCAGGTAGCTTGAGCTAGGCCTGCCACGTCACAACTGCCACTACTTGAAAACGCTACTCAGCGGCGGCAACTTCCCCTGACGACATTTTATGACATTTTCATATACTAACACCCCCTTGGACATACCTTGTCAAAAGTTTGGGCAGGAAGCAGAAGGCAAAGCAAGCGTCATGCCCATTGCTTTGGTTGCGCCATTGTGTTGCTGCAAGGCAGGTTGTAAATGACATCTCAATTCGACAAAGCACCATCTATCAGACTATCATATGCACATAGATGGGCTACACGCCCGCACGCACACCAAAAAAGCAACGCGCAGTTTGTCCAACCAATTGGAACGAAATGCATTAAAAAAACACTCATGTAAATTATGTAACACAATGTAACACACATGAACTGAAATCCTGAAGCAAGGCAAATAGCAAATGAATGTGTACCTTCAATGGCGTTCGAGAAAAAAGACTTGACAGGCTCAAGAAATCAACCCCTCATCATCTATGGAGACTTCAAGGTGGTGTGAAAATGAAAAGAGATGCAGGACACATCGGCAGGCTAAAGCATCAGTTTGCAATGGCTGTCTTTTCATTTTTAAACTGAAGCCTTGAAGGAGCCATTGAGAAGTCTTAATAAGTTGTTTTCGGTAAGCACACTTTCACGTGTCGATGCAAGCACTGCGGCTGCAACATCTACAAGTGACTACAAAACCGGTCCATCCACGCCTGCTTCAATTGGAATGCCACCTTTGGGTGGCCATCCACCCAACGTCCGACTCGCCGGACGGACGTGAGCAAGTCGCTGGAAGGGAGGAGCAACCACGTGAGGCATACATCCAGGACTTCAAAGTTATGAAGTTATGCAGCAACTTCCTTCAGCCATGGGTTTGAGTGTGGGCGGGGAGCAGGTCGCCAGGCTTCCTTAAGTCTCAACTGCAGTGAGCAAGTTCATACTTCAAAGACAAAGTCTATAGCTCCTAAAGAATCAGCGATGTTTTTGAATGGCTAGTCTTGACCCCAGAATGATTCCTGAATAGCTGGATGATCAGATCATCAGAATCCGATGTTCATACTTCACATTGCAGGCATCACACCACGAGCATCCAGGATGTTGTCTATTCACAGGCCGAACGACTTGGGCAGTACGTGGCCTCTTCCGTAGCAATGCGATCGCACCGAGTGGATCTCAATAACAAGCTTTCAGGAACCAACTCCTGGGCGTCTTTCATTAGCAGCTCCTGCATTTGGTACTCGGGTTCTAGGTGTCTCTTGAGGGCTGATACCAGTGTTGCATTATGGCACAAGTCGGTGCGGTGGCCTCCCACTGAATTGTAGCGGTGAAAGCTGGTCTGAGATCGAAAGGTATATCTTGCACCCAGGAAACTGGCGAGGGAGGAAAACACGGCGTTTGGGCGGATTCGAAGCTGCTCTTGGTGGACCACAATAATACGCCCCGTAAACAGGTTCATGAGTGTTGGCATATGCACCGCCACTTCCCGCCGCTGCCAAAAGCGCTTGAGCTTGCCAAAGCGTTCTGACAAAAGCGATCCAGCACTTGCAAAGCAGGCTTCGTCATCTCGAGCACCGGAAGCGAGTCCACGCAGTTTGGCTTCAGCCAAGGAATCAAAGCAGTAGTGATACTCCATGAAGTTTTTCTCCAGTCGGCCCAATGGATCGCACAAAATCACAATCATCTTTAAATTTGGCATGCCGGCCAATTTTCGCCGGGCCAAGCCAGTTGAGAAGAGAGCAGGGTTGCAAATACCCATGATCTTTGGGCGAAATCCAACAGATTTCAACTTGGTGTCCTTTATCTCCTCAAGCTGTGTATTATAGCTTTCCACTTGCGACTTCAGTGGCAAAAGCCTGTGAGCCAGTTCGGCTGTAAAGAAAAAGTCCTCACCAACAGTTGAAAAGGCCAATTCTGGATGCTGCTCGAGGTTTCGATGCAGCGATGAGGTACCGCAGCCATCCGTCCCTCCAATCGCAAAATCGATGTTGATCGATGACCAATCCAGCAACTCCTCTACACGTACCACGTCCTGAAAACTCCGGTTCAGAAGCTTGCGTTCTGGCTTCGCTCCCATCAGCATTGGCGCATAAAACTGGGGTACAATGATGTCAACCATCAAATCCTGGTCGCACACCTGCGGGGCGCAAACGCTGAGTCGCATGACATCAGGCAAGTCGTCCATTGAATTCAATTCATCATCTGTTCGCACCAGCAAGCGCGATAAAAGTCTCAAGAAGATCGGTCTTGCAGCTCGTCTGATGATTTGGAACAGCCGTGGCAGGTCCAAAACAACTTCCCAGTAACGTCCACCGTGCACCGAGCACCCCAAAATCTGAATCTGAGCCTCAGCAAAAAGTCGGTCGAGCCATAGGTCTTCATATCCAGATACAGGCTCCAAGCCGCCACGCCTCTTGGAGACTTCTTGCCAGTACCAATTTGGCCGATGATCCACAGGGATGTACAAGGTGTTGGCTCCTGACATTGACTTCCATGAAGCCTCGCTCTTGACATACTGGGATGCACACGCTGCGCTGGGTGTCTCTGATGTCTCTCCACTACCACATGCCCACAAACAAATGAACAACATCCGACTCATGAACCTTCTTGTATAGATCATCTTGGACTGCTTGATCCGCCACAAGCCTCGTGTACGCTGCGGATAGTGAGCTGGAGGTCTGGGCGTTGGACATGGCTCTCTTTTGCTGCCTTGGGATGTCCAACATCGTTCAAAGGGCGCTGCAACCAGATTTCTGAGGTTTTGAAGGCACTCGTGTCACTCAAAAGCTCTTAAATCTCCTATCTTTTAAATCCCAGCACTGCCTTCACCCAAACTCCTCGGTGTGCAGTGCAGCCCCTACGGGGTTTGAAGCTGAAAAACGCTGCCAAACAAGTCAAGTATGTTTATCCTTATCTACCTAAAATATCAACTCTGACTCATTCCGGAGCTGAAAGAGTTTCATCAACGCGGATGCAGGAAAGGAGCCCGGCAACAAGTTTGTCCAACAGCGGGAGTGAGGACATCACACTTTGCAGCCCAAAAGACTTGAGGCATGTACTTTGCACAGCCGCCAAGCTTTGCTGCCAATGGAATCTGACCGTCTTGTGCATCTATATACAAGTAATTACTGTCAGTACTGTCTTCAATTCTGCTCTTAATTCTGCGTGGGTGACGTGCGGTGATATTCAGGTGCATTTCGTCCTCACACGTTTATAGACCTGGAATAACTTCAACAATTCTTCTCAGTTCCGGTTTTGGATGCTTCATCCGTCTGATCGGCCCATCACCTTAAGGATCACCAGTGTCGGGAACTACTCCTTCGGAGCAGTTCCTAAACCAGAAGCGCTTCTGGCCAAATTTCACTCCGGCCGCTCTGACCATTGAACAGTCGCCGCCAAGTGTTCACCCTGGGATGACAGAACACGTATCGGACCCAAAAGCGTGGAAGAACGAGGTGGCGAGCCATTTGGTTCTTGTTTAAAACATGAAGGAGTGCGATTGTCTTCTCTCTTCCACTCTTTTTCACCTTCCTTGCACCCTAACTGCTTCAGCAAGCTCACCCAAACCATTTCCCCTGCCTTTTTGTCCTACCCTCTTGCTTGGCTCCAGTGCTCAGACCAGTTGGAGATCCTGATCCTCCTTCTTCATTCCTTCAACTGTCACAGAAGTGTGGGAAATGCTTTGTAGTTATATATTATGTTTCTCGTGTTCTTGTAATTGGAGAATGGATGGAGGTGGCCCGGTGGCTCGTGGTAATTCACACATTCTGCACTCACATCTGCGCACTGACACATACCTTTTTTGCTGTGCCCCGGCCGAACTACCGCCGTCCTTCCAGTCGCTGAGCTCGCCTCAGCCAAACCGGGAACTGGACAACTTAATCGAAGCAAAGGCAATTGATTGACATTCAAGGGTAGCAGCGGCTAGCCAAACATGTGTGCATATTTTGACCATGACATTTCAATCTTGAGGAGCTTTTCAATTTTCGTTCAGATCTTTTGTCTTTGCTGGGGGGCTCTTTTTCACGCTTTTCGATCTCCTTCAGCATGGCAACACCTTCCTCCAACTCCACAGCCTGCCGATTCTGCTCTAATCCAGCGCGGCGGCAATTGGCAAGCTGGGTTAGCTGAACTGACCCCAAGTTGTCAACTACAAAAGCTATTGACCATGACTCCATGAAATAAAACACAAGACATGCTGACACCGATGTCTCTATTACTCAACCATGTGAATCCTTGCCTCACGTCGACGTCGCAGGAAACTTTCCAACTGTCCAACCTTGGCTTGACGATTGTCCCGGCATGGAAAATATGGGTGTTGCCCACCTATGACAAATTCCAGAACTAGAACACCACGGTAGGTTGACATTCCCGGCAGCCCTCTTTGTTCTATTCTGAAAGGTCAACGAGTCAACCACAGCCCGTTGTTTCCAGCCCACAAGCAGCGCGGACCCGGATGGTTGCGTGCGCTGATGGAGCCATGGCAACAAGGAGAGCAGAATGATACGCAGTTCCTAGCAAGATTGTCAAGTCATATACAAGGTGGAATGAGGCCAAGGTGAGGGAAGATGGGAAGTCCACTTCTGCCAAGCTTTGATGAGGACCACCGAGTTTTTCAAAGTTGGAGTTGACATGGTAAAGGACGATCCTGTGAACGTTCCCTTTTTGGGGGGCTTGCTCAGCCGCCCTCGGGAGGAGCTGCAGGCAGAACGTCTGATCTGCCGCGCCACAGCTTCTGCGAGGCCAAACTTGAAGAACCCAACCAGGCCGAAGTTCAAAAAGACTTGTGCAATTCCCCAAAGCCACGTCTTGTCCGGAAACTCGTCATAGATATCCTGACACATGGATCAAAATGCCAGCTATGAACCTGTTGACACACTCTGACATTGGTTTGCTGTTAGCTCAATTCCCAAGTTGAGAAGGAAAGTGAGGGAAACGCAAGGCGAAAAAGTCAGCGCAACTGAAATGTTTAACAAATTGTTTGCTTGTCTGCAGTTCACGAAACGCGCAGCAGCTGAACGTGGCGGAAGGAAAATGGTTTGTGGGAAGTATCATGAACCACCATGGAAGCAAGAAAGGAAGATTGGACAGCGTGAGCAACAGTTTCTTTGCAGGTACACGGTCAGACGTCTCTGACCGCATCCCATGACATCACTAGCTTCGTTGGCCAGCGTCGTGATGTCATGCGCTGGCCCCCTGCTTGGAAACATCGGAACCCTTAGGTGCAGGGGTTGACACACACACACACACACACTTAGGATAGGGTGTGCTGAACTGACAGCGGTGCCACACGCCGGCCTAGGGTTCCATGTCCTAAGAGTACCAGTAAGGACCATCGGAGCCTGGAGGTCTTCAAGAGGAAAAAGGGCCAAACTCGCAAGTCGAAGACGAAACGACAGGGTGACAACGTAGCGTGCAAGTCTGCGGAGTGTCAAGCTCAACTCAGGAAAAGTTAAAATTCCAGCAGGTACACAGAGCTGATCAGTCTCTGCTTCCAGCACAAGTGGATAGCTTCGTTGGGTGCAGTTTCCACTGTGCTTTGCACCCCCCTGCGGAAAAGAGAAACAATCCAAAGGGATCCCCGTGATTTCAAGGGGCACACACACACACGCCTCCCCGAGGGGGCAAATGTGCACGTGTGCGCGCACAAGAGACAAAAGAATGAAGACATGACAGGAGGACGAGACGGGACAAAGGTGTGTGTGGTGGAAATGAGAAGGGAACCAAGTGCACAGGGACACGCGTGAAGCCCACCTCATTGTCAAGACCAGGGCGACCTGAAACCTGTGTGAAAATGTATGTAGAAGTGCACGTACACACCAAGGTCGGGACCAATGTGCGCGCAAACGAAGAAAAGGATGAGATGACCAGACATGAAGACAGGAGGACATGAAAGAAAAGAGGAAACAAAAGTGTGTGAAGGGGAAGGGATGAAAGGGGAACCAAATGGAGGGGACGAAAACCGATGAGACCAAACCTCATTGCAACGACCTAGGTGACCTGCCTCGTTTCAATGTACACGCTGTGTGTGCACCCAAGGTCGCGACAGGTTCCAATGAACCTCAAAAGTACTTCGGTCGCTCTGACCACGTTGAGGCGTTAAGCCAGCTTGGACCGCTGCGGTCACGTACAGGCTTAAGCCTTCTTGGAATTCCAAAAATGAGACAAACATCCCACTTCTTGTGGCGTAAGCCATCTGCTGTCCGCTTCGGACACTTACACCTCCGGGCAGGGGAGATCACGACAAAACCCCGTTCGACGGGTCCACGGGAGGCACTCTGCGGGCTCATCCCGGGTTGGCACGAAGCCAAACATAGCCAAACACACTTAGGATAGGGTGTACTGAACTGACAGCGGTGCCACACGCCGGCCTAGGGTTCCATGTCCTAAGAGTACCAGTAAGGACCATCGGAGCCTGGAGGTCTTCAAGAGGAAAAAGGGCCAAGCTCGCAAGTCGAAGACGAAACGACAGGGTGACGACGTAGCGTGCAAGTCTGCGGAGTGTCAAGCTCAACTCAGGAAAAGTTAAAATTCCAGCAGGTACACAGAGCTGATCAGGCTCTGCTTCCAGCACAAGTGGATAGCTTCGTTGGGTGTAGTTTCCACTGTGCTCTGCACCCCGCTGCAGAAACGAAAAACAATCCAAAGGGATCCCTGTGATTACAAGGGGCACACACACACACCCATGATGAAGTAAAACCACTGTCCACAGCACCCCGAAACTTGTGTTTCGACCAAAACCTGCACAAAATCTGAGCACGTGATCCTCCAGAGCACCGTACGGCCTACAGGGCCTACACTTCACCAAGGCTCACTTGTAACAAAGCTGACCACGGCCACAAACTTGATGAAATTGTTGAGTGCCGGTCCAGTCAAGTCTTCCAGCGGCCCACCTGCAGCTCTCAAATGGCAGCAACCGTAGTGCAAAAAACCCTTGGGCAAAGGCGAGTTGCATAATATTATGCGCTGACAATCTGAATCATGGACTTTGCGAATCATTTGAAGCTGCACCTATCTGTTCTCCGATGCCAAGTGTGTCATACTGCTGGCTGTCGGTTCCGACTACATTTCCATCCTTGTCCTCTAGCATCCCAAAAAGGACCTCAGTGTAGCTTTGCTCCTGATAGCTGTCCAGCAACATCAAGGTGCATGGAACATCCGTGATCATCTGAAGGACAACAGTCTAAAAACCCTAAACTGCTTTAGAAGGTTGCATGCGGCAAGAGTTTCATGATCAAAGCCACTCAACATGTTTAGAGTTTAGATTAGATCTTAGAGCACCAAAGAGCCACGGTCCAAGGCACATATTTTCGAGCTGCATCCTTGCCGAAACCAAGGAACGGAGCACGGTTTGACCATGTCTGTGTGAAGAGTGTCATGCAGAAATTTCTGCCTCACATTATACAATCATTGTCATTGTGTTCTTGGAAGTGGGCCTAAGGCATCCTTGTAACTGTCAACAGCCTTGAGGACGCACATTTGGGCGTTTCACCAGCTTCATGCCAAGCATCCCAAGCTTGGCCTGAATTTATGAGGAACATGTTCCTCGGTTCCATGTTCGTAACTTTCTTTGCATGTGGTATGATTGAAAGGCTGCCAAGCATCAATGAGAAGCACACAGAATTGCCGCCACTCACCAACATCAAGAGACCTTTAAACCCCAGAAGCTGTCCTCAGCTGTGTCAGCACCACTGGACCACGCTGAAAAAATAAATGGAGATTGAGCTTTCGGATTGGTTTCCAAGGCTCCAATCACCAAGGGCGCGGCAAAGGTTTGACACATAGGTGAGAAGGTGAGTTGAAAGGATTCGATGGCGGCAAAGCCGGTCAAGGTCTGCAATCGCAGGTCGCTGGTATCAGTTGGCAGGGAAAAGGCCAATCAGCCAGAAACGAGATCATTGTGGTATCACAGCATTACAGAACTGTAGCAGCTCCCATGAAAGCAAACTACAGGCTACAGGTCCACGCGCAAAATGCGAGTTCGGCACCTTGAGGGGTATAATGTGCGTTGCTGGGAAGG